CTGTACTGATTTTCTTTTAAATATGAGATTGATTGAGGGCTTTCTCCGTTAGAAGTAAACCTATATGTGTTTATCGGGACTAATATATATTTTTTAAATATGAGATAGATTCAGGTCTTCTTTCTGTAGGTCCTATAGGTTTTATCAGCAGTGAACATGTTGGTTTCCAGGGAGTTCACCCATCTAAGGAGACTGGAGGGTGGCTGGGTGCAGGCCAGGTGTCGTGTAGTGATCCCGGTGGGGATTGGGGCTCCTTTGAACTTTACGGGGTCCTCCTGGCTCCTCTGGCGGTAATCGCGTGAAGAAGGCTTGAACTTTAGCACAGGCCCTGCTGTGGTGACAAGTGTGATCTCCTTCTGCTTGGCTTTCTTGGGCGGTCGCAGCTGCATGCCGCGACATCCGTCTCAGGCTTGGATTCATCCAAGAAAGTTTCTGAGACACCCTGTCCACCTGATCTGCCCCCATGAGAGGCATACTTTAGCTGCTGCCACCTCTGCTGCACACTAGGCTTGCCTTTCGGTGATTGTTCCGTGTTTTCCGTAAATGCGTGCTTAGAAGCAGGAGTGCCTGGGCTTCGAGACCAAGACAGGGCCCCTTAGTGGGTGGCCCAGATCAAAGGGAGGCAGTCAGCTCTTGGAGCCGGCGACAGTCCTGCTGACAGCTTCCCTTAGGTTCTCAGGTATGTTTCTGTGGTCCATCAACGCCGCACCACAACTAACCAAACGGAATCTCCAGCCCCATGTGACCTGAACCCTGCCCACTTCATTTGATCCGGAATCCAATGGGCAAAGCAGCCTCTTCTCCAATGGGAAGAGAGCCCACCTCACAGTCTGAAGCGCGCTCCTCCTCCAGCCAAGGGGAACGGGAAGGTGGGCTTAAAGAGGTACTGTGGTCAACACCGCTGTCCTGCGCTGCTTCTGGCTTGCGGCGTCGTTTCAGGGGCAACCCCTGGCAGCGCCTCCACCATGCACCTGTCCGGCAGCAGCTGGACAGAGCCGATGTTGCGGCTCCTCAGCCGGGTACGCCAAGGCGCATGCGCAGTTCTCTGTAGGCAATAGCCCTGGCTGAGCCAGAGCTCACATCGCACTGAAAGCCACCGTTGCCCGGGGAACGGTCTAAGCAGCTTGGTAAACAGGGGCCCTGTGTGCCAGTGCCTGGACGTTGGGCAATACCCTCTCTCTTTTGGCGATTTTCCCCATGGGCCCGGGATTTTTGGAATGCAGCAGGCCTAAGCAGGCTGAGAAAAGTTACGGCGGCGATTCAAGGATGCCCACGGTGAACCCCAAGTGTCCCCACCATGCTTCGGGTCTGTCTAGACAGTGTGAAGGTTCCCCTCATTGAAGCCCTTTCGGCTGAGATTTCCAGTTTCCTCCTGCCTGCCTGCAGTGGGGCTACTCTCTCCCTGAGTGGCTTCCCAGCGGAGAGCAGAACCCCGCAGCCTCAGGAGCTGCCTGGCAGTGTGTGTCTCCTTGCGAAAGTTGAATGTGTCCCTGTGTCTTACTTTATGTGTGTAAGTTTGTGTATGCATGTATCCTGAACCTGTGGAGTGTGTGCATGTGTGTTTTGGTGCAACATGCTGCCACGAGTGTGGCCAGTGCAGCCCAGCGCCGTTTCTCTGTAGTCCGCCTACCTTCTTGGCGGGTCTGCTTAGGCTTAGCTTGGGGGCTGTGGCCCTGCGAGTTTGTTTTGCTGGTGACTTGTAAAGCCGCAGTGTGACAGGGTCTGGCTCTCACCTTCAGGCTTCCTAATCACCTGCCCATCCAGAGGGTGTCATTATGTGTGAACGAATTGGGGCATAACACATCCAAACTGAAACTCCGCCAAGTTTCCTGGGGACGGCTTCGCATCTAGGGCTGGTCGGATCCTAGCCATCCTGTTCTCAGGATCCCTTTGAGCCCACTTCTATTTTCAGGGCTTGCCTAGCTGAAGCTTCAGGGTGTGAATCGGGCACTCCTTCCTCTTTGGATTTCTTTCTGTGTCAGAGGATGTGTGAAGAAATCATAAGGTCAGAAAAGGTTGCGCTACATTCCGCTGAGGTGTGGAGGGTCTCCAGCGCCTTCACCTACTGGACGTGTTCTGACAGATGTCAAAGAATCTGCCTCTTTCTCAGCACTCACATTTCTGGGTGGCTGGATAGCTGTGACGCTTTTGGATCCCTGCGTGTCCTGAAGCTCCCACCACCAAGGAATCCCTTTGTCTTTTTATTTTGTCAGATGGCTGCATGCTTTTCACTTGAGGAGAGGGAACCAGCCATGGCTGTCTTTGATCTTGATCTTTTCATCCAGGCTGTGTTTGCTTTCCTCAGCTGTGGTTCTCTCAGAGGTGAGGGCTCTCTCCTTGCTCTGTTTCCGGCTGGGAGAAACAGTCAGCACTGAACCCCCGGCTGCCTGGGATTTCTCAGAGGTGACAAGCCTGGGGTTAGCTTGCTGCAGGCCATATATTCGGAAGTGATCACAATGTTGTGGTTGGGGCGGTCTGCACTTTGCGGGCTGCTCTTAGCTCATCTTGTGGGAATCCCTGAAGGAGGCTTGGAGTCCTGCACAAGTCGTCCTGTGTTCTCAGATGTGCTCGGCGTTAGCTTGGCCATCTTAGGAGTCTTCTGTGGCATTTCTGGACATTCGTTTCGAGCTGGGATGGGCCGCAGAAAGCTTCTGAGGTATTCTCACCACCTGATCTGCCCCAACGGGAAACCAATTTCAGGTGTGGCCACCTCCGTTACACGGTAGGATCACCACTTTGTGGTTTTTCCCACCATATCCGGATAACAGTTCTGAGAAGCAGGAGTCCCTGCGTTTCGAGACCAAGGCAGGGGCCCATGGTGGGTGGCCCATGTCACAGGGAAGCAGTCAGCTTATGGAGCCAGGGAACGTCCTGCTGACACCCTCAGCAAGAGGCTCAGGTGTATTTCGATTGTCCAACTACACCCATCACACCTCACCCAACTGAATCTTTCACCCCACGGGACCCGATCGCTGCCCACACCATCCCATCCGAAATCAAATGGGAACAGCAGTCCCGGGTGCCCATCGCAGTGTCTGAAGTGCGCTCCTCCCCAACCCAACCCAATAAGGAAAGCCAGCTCAAGAAGGTATTGAGGTCAGGGCTGTCGGGGTCCAGCACTGCTTGTTGCACATAGCCCCCTTCCCAGAGCCGCCCCTGGCACCGCCTCCCCAGTGCGCCTGTGTGGCAGCAGCTGAACATCGCCACCGTGGCCGCTCCCCAGCCGGTACGCCAATGCGCATGAGCAAGCAGCCTGAGGCAAGCGCCAGGGCTGACCGGGCGCTCGCGTCACAACAACCTGCCACCATTGCCAGGGGAACGGTCTGAGCGGCTTAGGAAACAGAGGCCCTCTGTGGCAGTGCCTCAGCATTTGGCAACGGTCCTCCCTCTCCGCCGGATCATGCCATTGTCCCGAGATTTTAGAAATCTGGGAGGCGGACTCAGGGTGAGAGAATGTCCGAAGGGGCTTCCAAGATGCCCAGGGCGATACGCAGGAATCCCCAGGATGCTTCAGGCCTGCCCAGACAAAGAAAAAGTGCGTCTTGTTGAAAGCCCTTCCGGCTGGGCTTTCCAGGTAAGGCCTGTTTGCCTGGCGCGGGTCTGCTCTCTCCCCGAGGGCTTCCGAGCAGAGAGCAGAGCCCTGCAACCTTAGGAGATGGCTGGCAGGTGTGTTTTCGTGAGAGTGTTGGATGTCTTCGTGAGTCTTTCTGTGTGTATGTGTGTGTGTGTGTTCGTGTGAGTGTGTGTGTGCGTGTATCTTTCTAGTGTGTTGAGTGTGTGTGTGTCTGTGTGTGTGTGTGTGTGTACGCGTGTAGGCGTGAAGGTGGCATGCTGACATCGCTTTGACCAGTGTGTTCCACTGCGGTTTCTCTGTAGTCCCTCTACCTTCTGGTGCGGATGTGCCTTTGGTTTATCTTGGGAGCTACGGGGCCATTCTTTGTTTTGCTGCTGGTTTCTAAAGCCTCAGAATAGTGGGTTCTGGATGCCACCTGCAGGTGTTTTAATATTCCCTTATGAGGCCCCTCACGCCTCAAGAAAGAAGACAGGCACAACATGGCTAAAAGCAAAGTCCTCCAAGCGCCCTTGGTCCCGTGGCACATCTGGGGCTGAGGGGCCCCTAGCCTACCCATCCTCAGGTCCCCTTGAGGGGAACCACTGCTGTCCTCAAACTTATGTGTATTACTTGTTAAACACAGGTTGCAATTGGTGTGTCAGAGTGAGACCGTGATTCTGTATTTCTTGGAGGCACTCTGGGAAACGATATTCGTAGTGTAATCTCATGTTCAGCATTTCAACTATAAAAGTTATCGTTGAAAATTTTTTGAAAACTTAAGCGCTCTGAATAAATCATAATTACAAACAATTACGAAATGTTAAGAAAACCCTATAAATACTTATGCATAACTGATTTATTCTAGCAAACACATGTTAACTTACAAGTAAAGTACTATAAAGCATAGTCAGTTTGTTATTGTTTATGTCCTATGGCCGAAATAAGAATAAAATGTAGGGTTCCGGTATCATTTTATTGTTCAAGTTTCTAACTTATGCGGTAATGTTTTACAAAGAACGTTTATTTTTTTATTCTGTAAATATTAGACATCTCCATATATATATATACATTTAAATACATATATATGTAAATAAACATATATATGTATATATATAAATATATATTTGTGTATATATATGTTTTTGTATATATATATTTCTTTTTTTTACAGAAAGAGAGGAGGAAATCAATACTTTGATCCTGAGGAAGGAAAGCATGCGAATGGAATAAGTTAAGCACTTTGACACAGTGTTGAGTTAGATAAATGTTCTTCCTTAAAATTGTCTCCCTCATATACTTATCTTCTTTTTCTAAGTTTTATTTTATTATCCTTGTATGGCAGAAAATAGTTCTAGAGAGAGAAGACAAAGGCAGTCTGTGTTTAGAAAAAACCCAAGGCTGAAAATTGAAGAACTGAATATGCAGCTTGGAAAGCGAACTGGACACAAGGAAAATCTTTTCAGGTATGTTGGATGTTAAGACTTTGTGTTAAGGCTCATTTTTCCATGTTCCTCATTTCCTCCTCACAAAACAAATGTAACAACATTTGCAAGGCAGGCCCTTGCTGAAATTATTATGTGGTGGAGACACTACTTCACAAACACATTTCATCCACTTATTAAAGTCTCACACATGGTTATAGTCTGCATGTAGATGGAAATAAGAGTGATAATCTGACACAGGTCATTTTTCTTACTTGGCAAGAGAAGTTGACAAAGTTCTCCCCTCAGAAGCCATAAAATAATTTGGCCTAAACAATTTGTACTAAGATTATGATGTTGTACATGAAAACAATAAAATTCCTAAGCTCTGCTAGCATACTGTGAAAGGTGAATTATGTAAGCAATGGTGAGAAGACCGAAGCTTTATTTACAAGAACAATATTGGCACTTTGTGATTGCTGACCAAAACAAATGTGTGAAATGCTTCTCTGTGATGAATGAAAGAAAGGTGAAAGGATGTCCCAGGTGAATTTTATGTTCGTTTTGTTTTCCATTCTGTGTTTGTCTGGTACTGTTTTGTAATATTTAGTTATAATTTTAATCGGGAGTATTAGTTGATGCATCACACTGGCTCTTCTCCACAGTCCAGAAGAAACTGATTAAAGCTCCGGGTGGGCTCAGGGAGTTAGTCTGGGAACATAAAGAGAGCTAATTTAAAGAGGAAGCAGAGTGTCAAAGAACCATGGCACAAAAGTTCTTAGTCTTGTTACCGGGACTGTGTAAGGGAACCCGTTCTGATTTCTTACAAAAAATTGTCTTCTGATAAAGCCCTGTTAAATTAACGGAGGACACAGCAATTTAATATTTTAGAAAGAATAAATATATTGATAAAACAAATATTATAATGCTGTTACATTTTTTAATATTTATGTTAAAATTATATATTTATTTTTAAAATGTACTCAATTTCGAAAAAAATACACATATTTATTGAACAAATATATTAATGTTTTTACCTTTTCAGGTATTTTCTTTCAAATCACATAATCTCGCTCTGTTATTAAAAATATTTTTTGTCTTAGTTTCTCAGAGAATGTCATGAACACAAGTTTTATAATTTTTTTACAGCACCAGTGTGAAAGATCAATTCAAAATTATAGTAGAGAAAGACAAAGCCCTTCAACAAACCTAAGAAAGTTTCCTGTAATTGTCTAATGTTTATGAGGTAGCTTACGCTGAATGACATGGCAGCTATCAGGAAGGTGAAGCTTCCTAAAATATAGGATAAAGTAGTAAGTAGTCCCACCTTCGGGAGATACACAAGAATTATTGTGACTTCAGTATGACTATGCAGTAAATCAAAAATAATATTCCAATCATAATACTAATACAATGGAGTAAGTAAAAACATCCAAAATTAAGAAAAGAAATAATAGTGTTTTATTATTTTTTTTATTTTTTATTGGATTTTAAGTTTTGGGGTACATGAGCAGAGCATGCAAATCAGTTGCATAGGTACACATATGGCAGTGTGCTTTGCTTTCCTTCTCCCCTTCACCCACATTTGGCATTTCTCCCCAGGCTATCCCTCCCCACCTCCCACTCCCACTGGCCCTCCCCTTTTCCCCCTAATAGACCCCAGTGTTTAGTACTCCCCTTTCTGTGTCCATTGTTCTCATTTTTCATCCCCCGCCTATGAGTGAGAATATGCGGTGTTTCATTTTCTGTTCTTATGTCAGTTTGCTGAGGATGGTGTTCTCCAGATTCATCCATGTCCCTACAAACGACACAAACTCATCATTTCTGAATGCTGCATAATATTCCATGGTGTATATGTGCCACATATTTCCAATCCATTCTATTATCAATGGGCATTTGGGTTGATTCCAGGTCTTTGCTATTGTAAACAGTGCTGCAATGAACATTCGTGTACATGTGTCCTTATAGTAGAACGATTTATATTCTTTTGGATATATACCCAGTAATGGGATTGCTGGGTCAAATGGAATTTCTATTTCTAAGGCCTTGACGAATCGCCACACTGTCTTCCACAATGGTTGAACTAATTTACACTCCCACCAACAGTATAAAAGTGTTCCTTTTTCTCCACATCCTCTCCAGCATCTGTTGTCTCCAGATTTTTTAATGATCGCCATTCTAACTGGCGTGAGATGGTATCTCAATGTGGTTTTGATTTGCATCTCTCTGATGACCAGTGACGATGAGCACTTTTTCATATGATTCTTGGCCTCGTATAAAGACATAATAGGCTTTTATAATGAACATCAATTTAATACGGAAAAAATTGCTTTGTGGTTGTGGATGGAGTTGAGGATTACGATTAATATGAAAGTGTAGTTATAAATTTGGAGAGCTTGTAATCCTCTTATAATTGATTTGAAACTATTTGTCTTTGAAACTTCAAGAGTATCTACTGTGCTGTACTGTTTTTCTTATAAATATGAGATTGATTGAGGGCTTTTTATGGTAGAAGTAAACCTATATGTGTTTATCGCGACTAATATATTTTTTAAAAATATGAGATAGATTGAGGTCTTTTTCTGTAGGTCCTACAGGTTTTATCAGCAGTGAACATGTTGGTTGCCAGTGAGTTCACCCATCTAACGAGGCTGGAGGGTGGCTGGGTGCAGGACAAGTGTCGTGTAGTGATCCCGGTGGGGATTGGGGCTCCTTTGCACTTTACGGGACCCTCCTGGCTCCTCTGGCCGTAATCCTTTGAAGAAGGCTTGAACTGTAGCACAGGCCCTGCTGTGGTGCCAAGTGTGATCTCCTTCTGCTTGGCTTTCTTGGGGGTTCCCAGCTGCATGCCGCGACATCCATCTCAGGCTTGGATTCATCCCAGAAAGTTTCTGAGACACCCTGTCCACCTGATCTGCCCCCATGAGAGGCCAGCTCCAGGTGTTGCCTCCTCTGCTGCACACTAGGCTTGCCTTTTTGTGATTGTTCCGTTCTTTTTCGCAAAACCGTGCTTAGAGGAAGGAGTGCCTGGACTTCCAGACCATGACTAAGCCCCGTAGTGAGTGGCCCAGATCAAAGGGAGGCAGTCAGCTCTTGGAGCCGGCGACGGTTCTCCTGACAGCTTCCCGTTGTTTCTCAGGTATGTTTCTGTGGTCCATCAACCTTGCTCCACAACTACCCAAACGGAATCTTCAGCCCCATGGGACCTGAACCCTGCCCACGTCATTTGATCTGGAATCCAATGGGCAAAGCAGCCTCTTTTCCAATGGGAAGAGAGCCCACCTCACGGTCTAAAGCGCTCTCCTCCTCCAGCCAACCGGAACGGGAAGGTGGGCTGAAAGAGGTACTGTGGTCAACACCGCTGTCCTGCGCTGCTTCTGGCTTGCATAGTTGTTTCAGGGGCAACGCCTGGCAGCGCCTCCACCGTGCACCTGTGCGGCAGCAGCTGGACAGATCCGATGTTGCAGCGCCCCAGCTGGGTACGCGAATGCGCATGCGCAGGTCGATCAAGGCAAGCGCCGGGCTGATCCAGAGCTCACCTCGCGCTGAAAGCCACCGTTGCCTGGGGAACGGTCTAAGCAGCGTGGTAAACAGGTCCCTGTGTGTCAGTGCCTGGACGTTGGGCAGTGCCCTCTCTCATTGGGCGATCTTCGCCATGGGCCGGGATTTTAGGAATGCAGCAGGCCTAAGCAGGCTGAGAAAAGTTCCGGCGGGGATTCAAAGATGCCCACGGCGATCCCCAAATGTCCCCACGATGCTTCGGGACTGTCCACACAGTGTGAAGGTACCCCTCGTTGAAGCCCTTCCGACTGGGATTTCCAGCTACCTCCTTCCTGCCTGCAGTGGGGCTACTCTCTCTCTGAGGGGCTTCCCAGCAGAGAGCAGAACCCCACAGCCTCAGGAGCTGCCTGTCAGTTTTTGTCTCCTTGCGACGGTTGCATGTGTCCCTGTGTCTTCCTGTATTTGTGTAAGTGTGTGTATGCATGTATTCTGAACGCGTGGAGTGTGTGCGTGGGTGTTTTGCTGCAACATGCTGACAAGAGTGTGGCCAGTGCAGCCCAGCGCCGTTTTTCTGTAGTCCGCCTACCTTCGGGGCCGGTCTGCTTTGGCTTAGCTTGGGGGCTGTGGCCCTGCGAATTTGTTTTGCTGGTGATGTCTAAAGCCTCAGTGTAGCAGGTTCTGGCTCTCACCTGCAGGCGTCCTAATCACCTGCCCATCCAGAGGGGTCATTACGTGAGAAAGAATTGGGGCATAACACATCCACACCCAATCTTCACCAAGTTTCCTGGGGATTGTCGCGCATCTAGGGCTGGTTGGATCCTAGCCATTCTGTTCTCAGGACCCCTTTGAACCCACTTCTATTTTCAGGGCTTGCTTAGCTGAAGCTTCAGGGGGTGAATCGGGCACTCCTTCTTCCTCTTCGGATTTCTTTCCATGTCCGAGGGTGTGTGTTTAGGTCAGAGAAGGTGGCGCTACATTCCGCTGAGGTGCGGAGTGGGTCCAGCGCCTTCACCTGCAGGACATGTTCTGACAGATTTCAAAGAAACTGCCTCATTCTCAACACTCACATTTCTGAGTGACTGGATAGCTGTGACACTCCTGGATCCCTGCGTGCCCTGAAGCTCCCACCACCAAAAAACCCTTTGTCTCTTTATACCATCAAATGGCTGCATGCTTTTCACAGGAGGAGAGGGTGCCAGCCATGGCTGGCTTTGATCTTCATCTTCTCATTAAAGCTGTGTTTCCTTTCCTTTGCTGTGGTTCTCTCAGAGGTGAGGCCTCTCTCATTGCTCTGTTCCCAGGCGGGACAACCAGTCAGCACTGAACCTGCTGGCTGCCAGTGATTTCACCGAGGCCACGAGCCTGGGGGTAGCTGGGTACAGGCCAGGTGTTGGGTAGTGATCCCATTATGGGGGTTGGGGCGGTTTGCACTTTGCAGGCTCCTCCTAGCTCATCTTGTGGGAATGCCTTAAGGAGGCTTGGAGTCCTGCACAAGTCCTCCTGTGGTCACAGATGTGCTCTTCTTTAGCTTGGCTGTTTTG